ATATCAATAACTATCTAATAGACTCCTACAGTACCAACTAGACAGGGTTTTTTGGAACACTTCTATTAATCATATTAAGATATCAATAACTATCTGATAGACTGACTTATGACCCTTTTATCGTTCTTGACTTACCGGACAATCATCACAGAAGGTTCCTTTATAACTGAGAGTCGAGTTACAGACACATTTACCACATTCACATGTGCCTCGTCCACTGCACAGTACCTGCACAATACATTAGGGGAAACTTTGTCAGTCATGAGGTGTACACAGACGTTTAATTGAACAATGAAAGGAAATTACCGGGGCAAGAAAGGCAGAGAGTATGGATGGATGGGTAAAATGTAGGAAGGAGCCTGGGAGGGAGGAAAGGAAGGGATGAATGGACGGACGAACAAGTACAGTCATGAGGTGTACACAGACGTTTAATTGAACAATGAAAGGAAATTACCGGGGCAAGAAAGGCAGAGAGTATGGATGGATGGGTAAAATGTAGGAAGGAGCCTGGGAGGGAGGAAAGGAAGGGATGAATGGACGGACGAACAAGTACAGTCATGAGGTGTACACAGATGAGCAGACGAACAATGAATGGAAATTAGCGAGGTAAGAAAGAAAGAGATGTAAGAATAGATGGGTAGATTGGAGGGAGAAGGACGGAGTCAGAAAGGAAGAGAAAAAAGGAGAAAAGAAAAGGAGGAACGGATGAACGAATATAATGATGGACAAATGATGGAGGATGGGGGAAAAATGTGTTGGAGGATGGGAGCAAGCATGCAATGGATGAATAGATAAATGAATATTGGAACTAAGGGGCGTATTTTGAGACGTACTAACTGATAGCTTGTTCATATACTAACATTGTTTTCGTTGAAACATGGTTTAGTATCTCGGGTACACATACAGTCCGGTCCTGTCCAGTTACCCACACAAGTACATACTTTACAAGCACAGCTACCATGTTCAGGGCCTGAAAAACAAGCAATAGTGAAACAATCACCAATTRCTCCAGAACAGCTTGACAGAGCAGAGGTGAGCAGCGAAGATAGTTCTGTTAACAAATTAAATGACTCAGACGCCGAAAAATCACTAAAACAGTTACTGCTGCAAACCAGAAGGGACATTCACACATCATTTATACATTCAAAGTTTCAGTGGTGCTACCCCAATATTCCTGCAACTATTTTACAAAATCAAATTCTACAGTACTTATACTCAGGAAAGGTCTTAATATACCACGAGTTAAAACAGAATTAGCTACGAAATTGTTCTATTATAAAGGTGCTGTTTTAATAATGACTTGAAGAGCTGCAGGTCTTTAATACAATTTTTTTTAATTGTGCAGACTCAGTAATCTCTCGGTTTTCAGCCGTGCCTTAAATTTGAGATTCATCATTTTCCATACATCGGTTCACTGGTCAAACACAAAGCGCTCAAGCGAGGGGCCAAGGTACTTTCAATGGATTATTAAAATTTGAACCTTGCAACCTTGACTGAAATGCTTTGTGTTTGACCAGTGAACCGATGTATGGAAAATGGTGAATGCGCATGATAAATCTGTTGCCCTGCTGGCAGAGTCTCCCTTGGCGATTCTTGGCAGAGAAAATCTGTATCACAAGAGAGTACAACAACTCAGGATACGTACCTCCACAGACGAGTCCAGAGATTGGATCTCTTGGACAGTCCATGTTAGTGCATTCACAGTGATCCCCATAGATGATCTCACCAGGAATCTAGACACACAAAAAAGTGTTAACAGTGCTGCGTAACTATAGCATTAAATACACAGACACACACACAATAAAGTTATGAATTTTTTAAAGCATTTCATTGTGAGTAGAAGAAAAAACAAGCACAAATAATCTTCTTAACAAAAAATTTAGAGGATATTTATTTTCTTACTTCTTGCCTTGTACATGCTGGGGGACATAACCTGTGATACGAAAACATGTCTCACCTTGCTCTTACTGCAAACACACTCGCCACAAACACATTCGCCACGTCCACTACAGACTTTAGCAGTGCCGTTACCCCTGGAATAACCAAAAAATAAGGTACATGAACAACTCCTGTACAGATATTCTACGCAATAATCCATACAGATAAAACTACATGTACCTTACATAGTGGACACACTGTATGACAAATAGCTCTTTGGGAAAGAACTCTTACGAGTGAGTTCTGACACATGCGCTCGTACCCAAACCCCACCCATCACGTCACCTCTCTCTAAACCTCTTCACCAAGGAAATGGAATAGTTCCCTTCACAGTTCCCTCCACCATCTTAAAAGGTAGCGGAGCCTTTGCATCGAAGCGCGACGAACGGTAAGCTTGCAGTGATAGAAACATGTGAATAATTGTCCAGGGTATTAAAAAAAGCTTTCTATTATTGCAAGCTCACCTTTCGTCTCGCTTCGATGCACAGACAAGGCTACCTTTAAAGATGGCGCAGGGAACTGTGAACGGGACTATTAAGTACATTTCTTCATCGTGCGCCACAATGTTGAGATCAAGAAAACCATATTATTAAGACATTTCATACCCACGATTGTCTTGCTTTACAACACAAGTAAAGTTATCAAGATTTAAGGATTTTATTTTTTAGCTTTGTTTATGAGCCTTTTTTAGTTAGATCCAAATAGACTACTTTAGCTTGGACGTAATGTTTTCCTATTCCTGACCACGTGTCATTCCCTTGAGTATCATTTCCTTGTTTAACGGTTGTGCATGAATATGAATACGACTCCAACAAAGAATCTTATTCTCAAAAGAATGATGACACATGGTCTGAAATGGGAAAACATTACGTCCAAGATAAAATGGTCCATTGATTAGAAATAAGGTGAAAGATAGAACTCTATATCACCCACACCAGTAGAACATTTAGGATTTAGAATGATTATGATTATGATTTGATTTAATTTCCATGACTACTTACGTCTTACTGTTGCCATGGTTACCAACGGGCGTCTTCTCGTCTCCAAGCAACGGATCGGTTACATTGCTTTCAATCACGTGTTTTAAAGTTTAAATACAGAATGAGTTGGGCGTTTTAAAAGGTTATATTTTTGTTTATTTTGAAAAAGCAAGTCAGTTACTCTCTTTATTTATAACATTTAGTATCATTATTATTATCATCGTCAAATTAGTATTCTGTGACCAGTTAGAAATTTAGATTAAAAGATTTCTTTCGTAACTTGATTGTTGATCATTTGATACATGTATCTGAAATCTACGGAGGGGGGGGGGGGATGAACTTGTCTCTATCTTCAGCTTTTGATAACCGAGTGGCCCAAGAAATGAGCTGAGAGGAACGCCAGCAGTCCTTTAATCTTTTTAACATTGCATTACATTACTTTTTACAGTACTTTATCCTTCAATTTAAAAAAATGAAATTTAAGTTCTCAACATTTTTTAAAATGAAATTCAAATTCTTGACATTATTGATAATTATATATATGTATATATAAATATTTAGCTCAGCAAATGCAAAGTCAATAGAAATAACTAGCAGATTTGATGCTGTGACGGACACTTTTGATGCTGTCACATTTGATACATTCACTTATTTGGTAGTCCATTCAAGAACTGATTTAGGATTAGGATTAAAGGTTCTGCACACGTCGCATGTTGAATAATCAGCAAGTCTCTAGTGAGGTTTGAGGTAATACCCAGAAAAATTCCCAAATTTCATGGGTCTTATTATAATTATTATTATTATTTTGTTCATTGTTTGTTTGTYGTTTTTTTAGATGAGTTTTTATTTCCTTCGTTTTCTAAGGTCTGCTGGACAGATAAATTGCCCCTAAATTTGCAAATGTTGAAATTCATTCGAGTTAAAATACTATTGCTTTACTTCTTACCTCTCGCAGCGACTAGTATCGTACACATCTTTAATAGGGCAGCCGCAAAGTCTTCCTCCACTACGAACAAAACCAGTATGATTAACAATACAGGAAATAAGACAATCGTTGCCAAAAGTAGACAAAAGAAATCTGCAACTTAACTCGCAAGATATTTTTTTCACACTACGCTGTAGGTATTGTTACACCCTGCAATGCTCCATGCAACTTGTGTCGCAACACCGTTGCGAGAAAAACTGCAGAGAAAATTACTCCGTGTAATCGCGCCTTAGGCAACTTGCCAAGAACTATTGTCATAATAGTTGGCAAATTAACATCAAAATTCTAATGTTTGTAAACACCAACTAGGGATATAGGGCTCACTTACGTTTCTTCGTTACATTTGCAGACTCCACATTGTAGTGTACCGTTAGTGTTACAGATAGGACTCTTCACAACCTGAAAACATTAACCACAAATATAAATAAATCTTAGGCTTACTGCAATTTTCATAAAYACGCGAACTCTGTGTCTGCGAGTTGCACGCTGAAATTTGTTTTTTCGCTGCCGTCAGTCTAACCATATCAGTCACGTACCTTTCATAACGAGTCGGTTTGAGGTCATTTGACTGTTTCGATAAAATTCATTGAATTAAAATTAAAATTCGAAAGCTGTTGTGGTTTTTCTTATTCGTGAACGTCAATAAAAACCAGCTGCTCTGCTCACTTTCTTCATATTCACATGCTTGATTGACGTCTCCATCACTGAAAATTCAATTCTATTGTGTCTGGAGTGCATGAATGCTTGTAAATATAATCAAGACTAGATTAGATAATAATTCTTACTGAATTTTGTGGTTTCTCGCATTCACAGTCACATATATACTCCAGTTTGACATTCACGTCTCCGAATGCAGTTTTCAAAGAAAACCTGAAAGATGAACAAATAGTAGTTGAACTGGGGTGAATAAATGGATAGATGGGAAATGAAAAAATGAATGAAACAATGAAATGTATGAAGTGAAAGGAAATTGGAATACAATGTGAGCAGAGGTTTTCTCTCTTTCTGCTATCCTGGCAGGTAGAGGAAAAAACCTCTACTCGGAGGGAGAAGTCGGAAAAAATGAACGAATGAATAAACCCCCTAGGAATGGAACCCCGGCGAGACTCGCAGAGGTGAGAGGTGAGTGCACCAGCCTTGGATTCCAATATGTGTAACTTACCCTGGTTGTTTGTTAGAACAATCTGCAGCTGTCACTGATACATCAAAAGACACCTGAAAACATGTCGCAACAACAAAGCAACATTATAAACCAATAGAGGTTTAGCACCATCACGTGTCCACGCCCATAATACATCTTGGGCTACTAGTGGTTAGATGGCAGAACAATAAAATCCCTTTGCTCTTGGGAATTGAATTCTTTCTCATGTAAAACGATTGTATAGTTCCTGCCATCTAACATGGCTGCCGTCACGTGATGGTGCAAAACCTCTATATACATGAAGTAAAATGAAGAAATGTTGAGCAGGTACAAGACAGGAGATGCTTGCTATGAAATGAAAAAAATTGTCTATTTAACCAACCTCTTGTCCTATCTTCACACCAGTACAGGTATTTTCACCTTCACGTTTACCATTTCTGTGAGTACAAAGAACACATACATCATATTCATATCTCTGGAGGATGGGTAGGAGACTGGTGCGATTAACATATAAACGAGGTTAGCTGTCACTTCCATTAAATGCATTACATTTGTGCAGAACCCTGGAATTGTTATTGGAAAATTTGCGTTCATAATGTAATCAAGGGTGTTAAAAATCCTGACCACTAGAAATCGTGTCTATATTTCTCGAAATCTCAAATAAGAAGTTCATTCGCAAAATATTCATGTATGCATCCCTTCTGCCTAAGCACACTTTTGAGCGTGTGCCTGTGCTCTAAATATTTGACGAGCCATTAAAATTGAACGATATTTTTCCCCCAAACCCTTGATATAGCATTTAGCTACACTTATAAAGTATATAGTCTTCCTTACGGGCAGTTAGCCGTGTATTTGATCTTGATGCCTTCTGGTGCGTTGTCTGTGATCGTCTGGGTTTGAGCAATTCTCTTTTGATAAAACAGAGCATCAATAATGAGATATAGACCAACAAGTTGACATATATAATACATATATAAAAAACGCAGTAGAACACAAACAGCAGCATAGCGGAAGAAACAGCAATGATTATAGCCGCACAGCAGCAATAACATACAACAACAGCAACAACACTGAAGACTATCGTGCACTAGGAAAACATCAGTAACACAATGCCAACAATACTAAAATCGATTATGTGGACTTTAATCAAATAAAGGCTCTTTTTTTATCATTTTTTGCTCGTATGCTTTCGACTGACATCAACAAGAAATCGGTTTCACTAGGCTTCAATAGTTATCCTGGTGAGTACATATGAATAACTCGTTGTAAAGTGGTTCCTAATCTTACCAAATAAGCCTCGCGTACAAGGGGCACAACATTAGAGGAGTCATTGTTCAGCCTTTGTGCAACTGCTCCGGTCTCGCTGCCAAGAAAACTGGCCAATGTCTGTAGTAGATTCAAATAGATAACATTAATACAACTCTTTCATAATGTAGGATTATTAAAATACGGACGCCGTTCTATTTCCTTTTCCCCTTCATTAATAAACGAACCTCTATAATACGGGCACTCAGCTCTGTTCCTTCAGTGTCCGTTGTACAGAAGTTTGACTTTATTACTTAACCTTACCTCGTAAACACCAACTTGAGTTTTAGTGATTGCAAATATTGGAGCCACTTGATTCTCTAGAAGAATTTCGCGGACAGATCCAACAGACGGAAAATCCTGTTATTAAAGAGATTGGTCATTTATATTGTAGAGTTTAGGACACATTCATACTGCAAGCTCACAAACGGTTGCGTGTGGCTAAGGATTGAAAATGGGTAGGGATGACAAAGCTAAGGCAAAGAGATGAACTACGCGAGAGAGCTCCCGGCTCCATCACATTAAGCGCTAATTATCTTTCCCTTCTCTCTTCATTAGTGTTTCATTTTAAGCTAAAGCAACAGAAGAGAAGTAGTAACGAGTGAGTGAAATCACGGTAAATCAACCTCTTGCTTTACTGGCAGCGCATTTACCCTCCACCTACAGTCATGTTAAGTATTTGATAATAAGGTTGTTTTGAACGGAGAACYCCACTTTACTTAGACATGTCCTGGTCCGTGTGTTACAAACCATGCTAGAGATCAGTAACGTTATGAACACAAAGTGGATGGTAAATCATAAGATATTAGGAGTTCAAAGTCCATTTAGTTTTTATAAATCTCAACTTAAGACAGTTTYATTTGATATATATTTCATGTGCGTTTGAGACGTATTTATATAAAATTTACTTTCAAAATGATCGTAGCATAAATAAGCATAAATAAAGTTACAACTTGCAATACTAAAATTAAAATCTGTCGTTTTCGTATTGAACAATATTAATATAATGGTATTAAATCATAAACGTACCAGAGTAGTTGAAGCAGCGTAAGTACCACCCTCAAGATGACATTTAGCATCATTAGGAACTACAACACCGGCAAGCTAAAATCACGATACAAACAATATCAAATATATAGCATGGGCGTGGTGCGTGTGAGATGGGGGA